TTAGAGCAAGATGGTTCTCAGATTGGGAGAACAGAGGGGGGGGGGAGTGGAGCAAGATGTTATTTCTGAGTGTGGGAATGAAACTGTTTTGGAAGCCAACAGGCATGGAAGGGAGGATAACATGAGCTCATCCAAAGAAGCAGCTGGCTTAGACAGAGATACAAAGCTGCTCCTGCAAGGGAAGAAATTCAGGTGCAAGCAAAGCCATTGGAAGGAGAGGGCAAAAGAATGTGTTCATGTATTGCAACCCTTAGAGAGCTGTAAGGATTTTAGATCAAGCAACATCGTTATTGGAGTGGGAAACTCCTGTCTTGTTCCTGATTCATGCTCAAGGCCCAAAATTCCTAGTCAGGTTTTGTTTCCTGTTTTATGGATTTACTTATGGATTCATGCTCTCGTTTTGTTCCTTGTCTTCTGAATTAATGTTCAAGTTTTAACTCTTGTCTTTGGATTTACCTATTGCCTACGAGATTTGCTTTCTATGTTCACACTTGGAGTTTTACTCCATTATTTGTTTAAGGTGCCTTTGGCCCCTTCTTATATGTGTTTCATTAATAAACTGTTTATTACCACATCTGGTTTCTTGGTGAGTGCATGAGCAAGGTGAACTCCTGGTGAAGTGCAACAGATGTGACAGGCCGATGTGACAAACAAAGGAACCATCTCCATATTTCATAGACTTTGCCAGGGCAGAAGTTATCACTGCTATTCTCTTTCCACCTCATCACATTGCAGCAAATTGCCCCTTTGCAGCACTTTGGGGATGGAGCCTGCCGAGCGCCATCACATGACACTTGGCAGGCCCCACCACATTGATCCTCCAAGTGCAGAGGAAGTATTGCAAGATGCTACATTGACAACTATGGAAATATACATGTTTTGTGGAGATACCCACATTTTTGGGTCTTTTCCCCCATCTGATGTGGACAGGGCACCAACACGCCTCATCCCATTCCCTCCTTGTGATTGGGGAAGGAGCGAGGGATGAGAAATAAAGCAATTTGAGGGTAAGTATGAAGAGATCCTTCCTAATCTTCCAATAGGAATAGGGTATTTGTGCCAAAAAGAAAACCCCAACCTCTCACCTGCTAGACAGAGAAAATGAGTTTGGAAGACATTGATTATAAGGGAATAGTTTTTGAAACTGTTTGTTACTATCAATGTGTTTTAGTTGTACTTTGTTTTGGGGCCCTATCACATTACACTATTATTCCACTGTAATGATCATGGCATCATTCCATGGAGCTCTAGAATTATAATTTACTGAGAGTCAAGATCTCCGGAGCGAAGAATTCTCAATGCCCGTACCTTAACGGCAAATCCCAAGATTCCATGTGAAGTAGAATAATGGTGCTATAATAGTTTAATGTGAGAGGGCCCTATAATGAGAGCTGCCTTGGGTCCCATGCTGGGAGAAAGCTGAGATACAAATTACATTGAAGGCAATGACCGCCATCCTTAAAAGAGCATTGATTATTTTTTAACAAAAAGAAGGTGCCATATAAATCTCTGTGCTTATCCCCTGTGAGCCATCAATTATCATTCATCTTTCACAGTTCATTGTGTACTCTACAGGTAAAGTCTGTGATACAACTTCACTTAGAGCATCCCCCAGGCAAAGATGCATCTCTTAAGGAATGAGAAAATACATATGTTCATGTATCTGCTATGTTAACCTAATATGAAGTGTCCTTTCACTTAGAATAATAGAATCTTAGTGTTGGGGACACCTTGTCCAACCTCCTGCTCTTCATTGTCCATTTTAAGAGAGATGTTAACCTGATCCTTTCTCGATCAAGTGCATGTATTTTACAAGGAGAAATAGTGAGAAAATGCCACATACACAATTTAAACCCAATGCAAATAACATTTATTTTGTACTAGACGTCCCCTGCCATGCGTTGCTGTGGCCCAGTCTGGGTATATGTGTTTTATGTGTGTATATATGTGTATATATTTGTGTACATGTGTATATATGTGTGTTTGTGCATATATGTGTGTGGTTTTGCACATGTGTTGTAATGGGTTTTTTTTTTAATTTTTGGCTTTTTAAGTATCTTCTGCTGTGTTTTTCAGTGTTTTTATGAGTGATGGTCACTCGTTGGCCTGATAGGTGTCCAAATTTGGTGTCAATTCATCCAGTGGTTTTTAAGTTATGTTAATTCCACAAACTAACATTACATTTTTATTTATATATATTCAGGTATTATCCTAGAATCATAAAGTTGAAAGAGACTATAAGGGACATGCAGTCCAGCCCCCTCTTATGGAGGAACATACGATAGCATACACAATACTAGATGTATTTTTCCATAAAGCAAAATCTTGTGACATCGCCCCTTATTTCAGAATACCGCTTTCCAAAGACAGAAATCCTAAATTGGTTTTTTTTCATCCAATGTCTTGATCTGATTAATCTACACCAGGGGTCCACAAACTTTTTAAACAGAGGGCCAGGTCGCAGTCCCTCAAACTGTTGGAGGGCCGGATTATAATTTTGAAAAAAAAAAAGAATGAATTCCTATGCACACTGAATATATCTTATTTGTAGTGCAAAAAACACTTAAAACAATACAATAATTAAAATGAAGAACAATTTCAACAAATATGAAATTATTAGTATTTCAATGGGAAGTGTGGGCCTACTTTTGGCTGATGAGATAGGATTGTTGTTATTGTTGTGTGCTTTCAAGTCATTTCAGACTTAGGTTGACCCTAAGCGAGGGCTGGGTAAATGACCTTGGAGGGCCGCATCCGGCCCCCAGGCCTTAGTTTGAGGACCCCTGATCTACACTCTTGCAAAAGCAAAATCACATGCAACAAAACATTGGATCCTCTTTTAGAAGCCTTTTTCATCCATGACTACACCATCAAACTTTCATATAGTAATTATATAGCAGTATTAGTTGCTATCTCAAGAAGCTATTTGTGGATGATTCCAAAAGTCCTAATATGTTTTTTTAAAATACACAACAAGATAGCAACTTCTTTATCTCTGTTCAGTGTAACCATGCTCAAATGATACAGGAAAACACACGTAAACCCACCTATGAAAGAAGGCTGGAAGAGTGTTTCAGGGCATCGAAACCGTTCATTGCCAATAGTGATGACTTGACCATCAGGAAGTTCATAGCTCTTCTCCAAGGAAGAAGAGGAAGCTGCAGTAGCCATTTCATTCTCAAAGTCCAGGGCCACGTAACAGAGCTTTTCTTTTATGTCCCGCACAATCTCACGCTCAGCTATAGACATCAAAAAGTAAGGGGTAAGAAGGCTGTAGGTGTAATTGATGGATTTATTTGTCTTGTGCATCCACCAATTTTACCCAGCAAACATGAGAACCACAACTTTCTCTTGTTCTGAGCGGGATGAAAAAAAGTATCTTTTTTGCAAATTCCTACTATATTGGATAAACACAAGGCTGGCAGACTGAATCCAGCACACCATGTCATTTTATGTGGCACGTGAGATTTTCAATGCCGGAGCAACATAGTTACATTTATACAATCTTGCAATTAAAAGATGGAGCCCCTGATGACGCAGTCGATTAAATTGCTGAGCTGCTGAACTTGCTGAACCATAAGGTTGGCAGTTCAAATCCGGGGAACGGGGTAAGCTCCTGCTGTTAGCCCCAGCTTCTGCCAACCTAGCAGTTTGAAAACATGCAAATGTGAGTAGATCAATAGGTACTGCTTTAGCGGGAAGGTAACAGTGTTTCATGCAGTAATGCTGGCCACATGGCCTTGGAGGCATCTATGGACAATGCCGGCTCCTTGGCTTAGAAATGGAGATGAGCAGCACCCCACACAACTAGATTTAATGTCAAGGGGAAACCTTTACCTTACAATCACAAACAGCCCTTTGAAAACAACGTAAGTCTAATGTGGCCCCCATTGAAAATAAGTTTGACACCTCTGCCCTAAGGCTTTCGATCCAAGTGAATGGTTCAAACAATTCCACATTTTCCTTTGTTCTCAAGGAAAATGTAGCTCTTTTCACATATGAGGTATACTAAATCATATAATCTAAAAAGCTGTTATGATATTAGAATACCTAAAAGGGTATCCTATCTGTTTCTCAATGTTTTTGTTCTACTGCTCCATTTATCTTCACTTCCATCCCAAGAACATCAGGTTTCAACATTATGATATCTCCCCTGCAGATCAGATAAGGGTCTAGTCTGAACTGACTTCACTAGGGCCACAAAGCTCCTGACTGTCAATATTCAATGTTCAAATTGATTTGTCCCCAGTGCCCTCTGGGATTGTGGGTGACACTTTTGCCACACTTTTATGACTCTTTTTATACTGCGGCCTTCTTTTGTATTTATCTATGTCTGAAAAAATAAAGATACTTATGCTTTTTGAAAAAAGGAAAAGAAAGGAAGACAGGAAAGAAGAAAGGAAAGAAAGCATTACAGATTCTTCACTTTATGGATAATGTTTGTAAAATTTGGATGCTATGTATTTGCCTAACAATATTGTTTGTCAAAGGGAAGTTTCACATGATTTTCATTCATTTTGCAGCATGTGGAAATTTGCAATTTATCTTTTAAATGAAGAACATATATAATATTTAAGGGAGTTGCTGATTACCAGTAGTTACAAAAGAATAGCCTCTTTCTGTAAGAATTTTCATGAGATAGTCAGTGAGATCTCTCCCAGCCAGATCCAGTCTCATGATGGCATGTGGCAAGGCATAACCTTCATAGATTGGCACATTATGTGTGACGCCATCCCCAGAGTCTAGGACTATACCTAGGAGAGACAACAAAAATGAATATGTCAGCATTCTTCTCCTTGTATAGACCCTAACTGGCCCCAGTCTTCTCATCAATCCATCTGCTAAATGAAACTCTTAGACAACAGCAAGACTTGAAAGGAGAGACTGCAAATAACAATGCCTATTGTCTCCCCTCTAAGTGGAGTGCTTCTTCCACAAGGGGGAAATTGCTGTCCTATACAAAGAAGCAATTGCCTTCTGAGGAAGCATGAACGAATCAGAAATTGTATAGCATTGTTCTCTATGAACAGATGCTAACGATAATGATGTTACATTTCTATAGCCTTTCAGACAAAGAAGAATCCTAAATGCTGATGTATAAACATAAAGATCTGCTACCAAAATGCAAAATTTTAAAAATAGAACATAACACAGCAGCTACATGTCTTTATGGTTGTCAAAATACATGATTCTGTTCTTTCAAGAAGACCAAGGATCTCTCCACCTGGCCCTTTGGGCCAGGCTGTCTCACTGGCGGTTGCTGGCAGTTGCTGGCATAAGTGTGCAGGGTGGTTTGTGGCTCCCATGTGCCCTCCCTCCTTCCCCCATCATATGGTGGGAATGGGACAGGGTATGTTGCTCCACCTCTCTTTCTACCATCAAACACGGAAAGGGGAGGAAAGTGCGGGGTAGCTCTGTTGGAACTACCCAAAGCACACTTTCCTCCCTGTGGTGGTGGAGGAAGCGCCTTTTGGTGCTTCCTCTCCACTTTGGGAGGAATGTGGACAGAGCCTGCCATGCATTGTCTGATGGCACTCGGCAGGCCCCAGGCCCGTAGCCAGGATTTTAATTGGGGGGGGGGGGGTGTGTGTGAAAGAGGGTCTACCCTAGCAAACCTTTTGTATCATTACCCCAATACCCCCATGCATATGGGATATATTGAGCATGGTGATCAGATCATGATATGAATAAACATAACAGTTTAAATAATGTACCAGTAAGGCCTTCTCGGACCACCATGAGAATTTCGGGGGGGGGGGGGCTGGAGCCCCCCAAGCCCCCCCCCCCCCGGTTACATGCCTGCAGCAGGCCCCATCCAAGCCATGAATAAAAGCAGCAAAATGGAACTATTTTGCCTTGTGCAGAGAGGTCTCAAGATGGGGGGCAGGGGGAAAGAACCTGGAAAAGTTCATTTTTGGAATTACAAAAGCCAAAATTCCCTGTCAGTTGGAAAATTAAATACAGGTTTCTGAGAGTAGTCATCCAAAAAGTCACATTTCCAGATTCTGGGAGAAACAAACAAGGACTACAACTGTAGTGTCAGAGTACAGAAAACACCCTTAGATACATGCTGTGGAACAAATATGTGCAACCAAAGCCACCAACAAAATTTAAGTTGATTTTTTTCCTGGCTAGTTGATAGCTCTACTTAACTGGGCCTGTTGTTCCTGTTCCTAGCAAATCTCAGCACTCCAGGGTTTGAAATTTGAAGCTATGAGGTTGGCCATGGCAGTAAAAAATCCAGCTAATAAGGATCTCATCATACAGATGACCCCTGTGCGCTATTTTGTTGTGTTTCTCCGACAATTGCCTTGCTGCAACCTCCCTCCTTTGGCGCCCTATCCCTGCTCTCATCGACGGGGGAAAGAGTGAAGACTGTTGGAGCTGCCTAGAAGACACCTTACCCAACATTGTTGAGGAGGAAGCATTTTTGCTTTCTGAAGGTTCAGTGTACACAAGCTTTGTTTCATGCATACATTTATTACAAATATTGCGTGTAAGGTATATGAGAAATATAAATGAATTGTGTGAGTTCCAACTCCAAGATATAACATTATATACAGGTAAATACAGCCATTCCAAAATAAAAAAAAAACCCCATAATACTTGGATTTTATTTCAGACAAGGGTTACTCAACCTGTGTATATAACTCAACCTGTGTATTACAGAAAGGGAGAGCAACTAATAATAGACATTATATATGGGTGACTGGGCAAGTAGATTGATTATTTATGGGTGAGTTGGTCATGTATTATATTGTGAATTTGTGGGATAGGGAGGTAGAGAACAATTTTACTTCTAAATTCTAAAAACATTAAAAATAATTGTTTAAAGTGATGGATGTATTCCAGTTTGTTGTGTTAAGTCATTACAAAAACAGATTGTGAACAAAATGATATGAACACCAATCCAAACTTACCAGTAGTTCGGCCTGATGCGTATAGAGAGAGAACTGCCTGTATGGCCACATACATCGCTGGTACATTGAATGTTTCAAACATGATCTGTAGTAAGGAAAATAAGAGTTCAACATCTTTATTAATAACTTAGATGGAAGGGTTAGAAGGCATAACCATCAAGTTGGCAGACAACAGCAAATTGGGAGGGATAGAGATTTAAGATTGTCTGCACACCGCACCTATCTCTAAAAACCTATCCATTTCACCTGTCATGTCCAGCATTTTTTTAATTTTTAAAATTTCTATTCATTACATTTGGCCCGGCCTTAGTTTTTAAATGCGTCGTGGTGTTATTGTCTAATGTTTATTGCTATTGCTTTAATGTTTATTGTTTTGCTTTATGAGTTATTTATTGTTGTATTTGTTATGTTGTTGTTTTATTGATGTGTTGGGCCATGGCCTTTTGTAAGCCACACCGAGTCCTTCAGAAGATGTTAGCGGGGTATAAATAAAGTTAATAATAATAATAATAATAATACTCCAGAAGACAGATGAGAAAGATGGGGCAAAATGAACAAATTGAATTTCAACAAGGACAAATGTAAAATGTAAAGAGAGCCCCGCCCTCTGGAAAGCCCAGACCTTCTCAACCTCTGAGGATGCTTGCCATAGATGCAGGCGAAACGTCAGGAGAAATGCCTCTAGAACATGGCTCTATAGCCCGAAAAAACCCACAAGAACCTAAATGTAAAATACTCCACTCAGGCAGAAAAAAATGAAATACAGAGATACAGAATGGGGGGTGCATGGCAGTATGTGTGAAAAAGATTTTGGAGTCTTCCTGGACCACAAGTTAAATATGACCCAACAATATGATGTGGCAGCTTAAAAAGCCAATGGGAATTTAGTGTCTAGATCCAGGGACGTCATGCTACCCCTCTATTCTGCCTTGGTCAGACCACACCTGGAATACTGGGTCCAATTCTGGGCACCACAATTAAAGGGAGATGTTGACAAGCTGGAAAGTGTCCAGAGGAGGGCAACTAAAATGATCAAGAGTCTGGAGGACAAGTTCTTTGAGGAGCAGCTTAAAGAGCTGGGCATGTTTAGCCTGAAGAAGAGAAGGCTGAGAGAAGACATGATGGACAGATATAAATATGTGAGGGAAAGTCATAGGGAGGAGAGAGCAAGCTTGTTTTCTGCTGTCCTGGAGACTAGGATGTGGAACAATGGCTTCAATTTACAGTAAAAAAAACCCATAATACTTGGATTTTTTTTCCGACAAGGGATACTCAACCTGTGTATATAACTCAACCTGTGTATTGATTATTTATGGGTGAGTTGGTCATGTATTACATTGTGAATTTGAACATTAGGGAAAACTTCCTAACTGTGAGAGCTGTTCAGCAGTGGAACTCTCTGTCCCAGAGTGTGGTGGAGGCTCCTTCTTTGGAAGCTTTTAAACAGAAGCTGGATGGCCATCTGTCAGGGGTGCGATTTTCCTGCTTCCTGGCAGGGGGTTGGACTGGATGGCCCACAAGGTCACTTCCAACTCTGTGATTCTATGAATAATACAAAATTGTCAGTTTTATTTTTTTAAAAGCAAATAATTCAATTCAAGACTTTCTGTACAGCTATGCAAAGACATGAGCAGTGACCACCATGAATTTTTGCTACATGTGATGTTTGTTGGCTATCATTAGGTAAACTTCCATCTTATTTGGGGGAATTGAGAGGCGAGTTAAGATTATTCCTCATCAAGCAAAAAATTTTACCTTGGCGAGATCGTTTTTGACAGATTTTTCATGGTTAGTAAAATTAGCATATCTGTCAGATATCTTCACACATCTAAATATGCTCAACTTAAATTTTCAAGAAGAAAAAGTTAGTTTTTCAAGTTGAAGACAAGATGGAAGCAATGATGAAAAAGTTGGCACCATTACCTACTGAGCATAAGCAATAAGATATTTCCAAACCTCACAAATGTGATTGCTTCCACCAACGAAGAATTATTTGAGGAGAGTACATCACTTGTCACACAACAATTGAAAAAATTGCAGCTTAGTTTTGATGAATATTTTACTGGTCCTGGTGCAAACAAAAACTGAATTAGAGATCCATTTCCAGTTAATGTGTATGAACTACAGGGGCTCACAGCAGCAAAGGGAGAGAAGTTCAAAGAAATATACACGGATGGGGCTCTAAAATTGCAGTTTGAGGAACAATTTCTTCCAAATTTCTAGGTTCATTTACAAGCAGATTTTCTGGAACTATGCATTATTAAAGTATTGATGCCTTTCATAATTACACACTTGCTTAAAAAAACAATTATTTCTTCAAAAATAGAGGATTTAGGACCTTACATATTGGGAAACATAAATAAAGCCTTTAACAGCAGTTTGACTTCCCCATCTTCCCTGTAATACTGTCCCCAAGGGAGTGACTACTGCCTAGAAATGGAAATTTTGCACTTTTTTATCCTGTCACAAGTGATTTGAGAAACTGCAAATCGCTTCTGGTGTAAGAGAATTGGACATCTGTAGAGACATTAGCCAGGGGATGCCTGGATGTGTTATCATCCTGTGGGAGGCTTCTCTCATGTCTCCGCATGGGAAGCTGGAGCTGTTAGACAGGCACTCACCCCATCTCATGGATTCAAACCGCCAACCTTCAGGCCAACAGTTCAGTCGGTACAAGGCTTTAACCCATTGCGACACCACAATGGGTTATTTTGGACTGAGTGCAAGAGATGAGAGAATAGGTCCCCAAGCCCCCTTTTTAAAAAGGGTGGGGGGATTGGTAAATCATGTATCTCTCAACAGCAGGACCCTGGCAAAGGAATCAAAAGCAGAATCCAAAGCAATACCAATTGGAAGAGCAGAAAAGGTGAACTTTCTCTCTGGAGCCCCCTTCAAAACCATTACTGAATGGTTAAAAAAATCATCCAAACCTAGATTTAATGTTGTACAGAAAACTACAAAGTGTATATAAAAGCAATGAAATTAGAAAATTTCTGCAAGCGGGCAAGATCTAACTGACTAAAAGTAGGAACTTGCTATAGGGCCACTAGTATAAATGCATTTCTACAGAAGTGCAGTTTAGCTTCCTTGTACAACCCAATATTATCTATTGATACTATGTGATCATATTACATTTCTCTCGGAGCTGAAATTATTGTGTGTGTTTTTCTCCTCAGAAGGAAAGAAGCACCTTAGATGGCTAACATTAAAATTGTTACCTGAGTCATTTTTTCTCGGTTAGCCTTGGGGTTTAAGGGAGCTTCTGTCAACAACACAGGATGCTCTTCTGGGGCAACGCGCAGTTCATTGTAGAAGGAATGATGCCAAATCTAGAAATGAGAGGTATTGTGAGCTTAGCAAATTTTGTTTGAAAGAAATAATTGTCTTGTCAATGTATTTTTTAAATTCCATTAAAATATTATCTACAATAAATACATTTTTGTTTATGGAAACACATACATGGCTGCCCCAAGACATTTTCCAGAGTTGAAGAACAATGTGGTGTTGTTTTTATTCTAGGCACAAAAGCCAATTGAAATGAGTCCAACAGCAGATGAACTTAGTGGGTGGACTTGAGGCCACTTAACACAAAGCTCTTTGTTGGTGCCTTTAAGAATCTGATGCCAGAAGTCGTTGCCTTAAACCAGTGGTTCTTAACCTGTGGGTCCCCGGGTGTTTTGGCCTACAACTCCCAGGAATCCCAATCAGTTTACCCGCTGTTAGGATTTCTGGGAGTTGAAACCCAAAACATCTGGGGACCACACAGGTTGAGAACCTCTGCCTTAAACCATGACCAAGTGTGGTGAAAGTCATGAAATTGCAGCAATTTTCTCCTCATTTTTATCTAGCGCATATGCCCAGTTAATGTGATTGGTCCTGGACACAAATAAAGACCCCTTGACTCTACTTCTCTACTTCTGTACAATATTTTGGCTTGACCCTGCATGAAAGGATCACAGAATATGTTTGAATCAGCCACTTACTTGTAGTGCTAGGGTGCAACAATTTGATTTATTGTCAAGGGCTTTCATGGCTGGAATCACTGAAGTGTTGTGTTTCCGGGCTTTATGGCCATGTTCTAGAAGCATTTTCTCCTGATGTTTTACCTTCATCTATGGCTGGAATCTTCACACACTCCAAATATTTGATTGTTTATGAACCTGATTGCTATAAACTCAAATAGAATTGATCTACCAACCACTATTTCTTTTGATTTGGTGAAGTTTTCTGGCTGTTTATTTTCATAGTATTCACTAATTTGGGGTTTTCTAAATTATTTTTAATTGGATAAAAATATTATATTCAGCACCACGAGCACATATCATAACCAATGTTTCTTTCTTATTCCCATTTACAAGGCAGAAATTTCCATTGTCTCTTTAGATATTCAACTTACGCTTAGTATGATTAGGCAAAATTCCAGGATCAATAGATTTAAACAATAACATCAAGGGTCTGGAGAACAAGCCCTATGAGGAGCGGCTTAAGGAGCTGGGCATGTTTAGCCTGAAGAAGAGAAGGCTGAGAGGAGATATGATAGCCATGTATAAATATGTGAGAGGAAGCCACAGGGAGGAGGGGACAAGCTTGTTTTCTGCTTCCTTGGAGACTAGGACGCGGAACAATGGCTTCAAACTACAAGAGAGGAGATGCCACCTGAACATGAGGAAGAACTTCCTGACTGTGAGAGCTGTTCAGCAGTGGAACTCTCTGCCCCGGAGTGTGGTGGAGGCTCCTTCTTTGGAAGCTTTTAAACAGAGGCTGGATGGCCATCTGTCAGGGGTGTTATGAATGTGATTTTACTGCTTCTTGGCAGGGGGTTGGACTGGATGGTCCATGAGGTCTCTTCCAACTCTTTGATTCTATGATTCTATGCTTCTATGTCAGTGTAAAATTTAGAAACATTCTTTTCACAGATGGTCTTTTGATGTTCATTTCAAAGCCCCAGCAGTCAATCCCTGTTTTGATACAGATGATTAATCATTTTTGGTAAAATATGTGGTCCAAGTCAGAAATGCCGCCAGTGAGAGACATGACAGACTCTAGTATATTTAAAACATGGCACTTTCAATATTACCCATATTCTATTATTTATTTGGGTATAACTATCCCTAGGGACTTATCTCAGATTATGAATCTTAATATAAGTCAACTGATAAAACATGTTACACAGGATGTAGAGATATGGGTGGGGTTAAAGATAGTCTGTGGAATAAGGTAACCACCGTTAAAACAAATTTTATTCCTATAAATGTTTGTGTTATTCATGGATTTCACTACTTATATCAAGTATTTTCAAAAACCAAGTTCTTTGTTGAAGGTATTTGGGGAGGAGGGTTCATCACCTTCTAGAAATACAATGAAAATGATGCAAATTTCTGTCAAAGAGGGAGGCTTGGTCTTCCAGCTTTTTAACCCATTTAAAGGCCCCATCAGTGTAAACTCATATAAGCACTTAGGCAATTCCCTGGACAGCAGGCCCCAGTTAGGACCCAAAATTCTTGTCTTCAAGCACTTTACAACTGTTATACCCAAATCCTTAATGATAAACTGCTCTTATCCTCATCACTGCTATATGATATTTGCACTTTAATGTTATGGAACCAGTCTGCCCACCCATGGTGAAACATTGAACTTTGCTTCTGGTTGTTTGGTTCTGACATTTGTTGTAAATACTGTTTATTGTTGTTGTTATTTCGTTATATTGTTTTTGTTATTATTTTGTTGATATGCATTTTAATGTATTATGTTTTAAGAGTTCTGTTGGGCTTGGCCCCATGAAAACCGCCCTGAGTCCTTTCGAGGAGATGGAGGTGGGGTATAAAAATAAAGTTGTTGTTGTTGTTGTTGTTGTTATTTGAAACACAACAAGATGAGTCCAAAGCAAACAAGATCATTCTGATGGCTGTTGTACTGAATCACACATCGGACACTTCCCAAGTGTCTCGGACTGTGTGATGTATTGGCGAATAATGCATACAGATCCCAGTAAGGTGGCCTTTTGCAGATGGTAATTTTGTCAGCGCCGATTGTATTTAAGTGCAGGCCAAGGTCTTTAGGCACTGCACCCAGTGTGCCAATCACCACTGGGACCACCTTTACTGGCTTGTGCCAGAGTCTTTGTAGTTCAATCTTTAAATCCTTGTATCATGTCAGTTTTTCCAGTTGTTTCTCTTCAATCGTGCTGTCACTTGGGATTGCAACATCAACTATCCATATTTTGTTTTTTAACATGATTGTGAGGTCAGGAATATTGTCCTCCAAAACTCTATCTGTCTGAATTCAGAAGTCCCAGAGTAGTTTGACGTGTTCATTTTCTGTAACTTTTTCATGCTTGGGATCCCACCAGTTATTTGTCACAGGAAGACGGTATTTGTGGTACAAGTTCCAATGGATCATCTGAGCAACGGTGTCTTGTCTCTGCTTGTATTATTATTATTATTATTATTATTATTATTATTATTATTATTATATAATGCAGTTTCAAAATATAGATGGCAATATAGATGGGTTCTAAGTCAGTTTCAGTCAATGGAGATGGAGCCTTGGAAATCAACAAATACAGGCAGTCCCCAAGTTATGAACAAGATAGGTTCTGTAGGTTTGTTCTTGTGCTTTTCTCCCTCCTTACATTGTATGCGCAGTATGAATGCATTAACACTTACATGCTGCCCTAAATGAATGTTGGCTGGAAAATGGAGCAGCCCAAATTTGAATATTGTGAGCTGAAGCATATGAGCTGGAAGTAGCTTCATTTCGTTGTCCGTGAATTCCACTTCTCACAGCTCACTGGAAATGGCTGTACACCATATGGCAGCAAAGAAAGAGGCATACATATGAAGCAGAAACATTATCATGGCAAAATTTATCCCTGTATATCTGTGTCTATGTGACAATTGCTACCTCCAGTGTCTCATAATTTTCCAAAAATGGTTGCACCCCAATAGCTCCTTTCTGTTCATTTAGTCATACCTATTTGCTTCCTCCTTGAGTCTGTGAATCTGGTTTCTACGATATGTAATTCGTGAATGGATCACACATTATATTACAAGCAAAAAAGGAAGAGGACAAAGACTTGTATAAAATGTTCATGTAAGTTCATCATTAAACTGTCAAATTTACTGCTCCATGATTGAATTCTGCAACTGTGGCAGAAGCCAATTAATATCCCTGTGACCTATACTGAGAGCCAGCTTGGTATACTTGATTGAGGATTGGACTATGATTCTGGAGGATAGGGTTCAAATCCCCATTCAGTCATGTAAGCCCATTGGGTGACCTTGGACCACCTTCTCTCAGTCTCAGACAAGACTGTTTCAAACCTCCTCTGAAACAGTCTTGCCAAGAAAACCCTATGATGGGGTTGCTTTAGTTTAGGATCACAATAGATCAGAGAATACTTGAAAGCACACAGTAACACTGATGTGTAAAATAATGATAGCTGCCAATTTGGATAGATTTTTAAAGATACTACTGCCATTAATGGATGGTAGTCAGGATGTCTCTTACATCACACCCAGTACCACAGACAATCTGCCTCTTTAAAAGAAGAATATGAAAAACAGAAGTCATGTTATATGCGCTCATGGTCTGCAGTGTGAACAATTAGGCGTCTGGCCTGAGTCAAAATACACATGTCCATATCTGTTTATTTCAGCCCACATGTACTGATGTAAATGTAGAAATTTATGACAATTTAAATGTAATCTCTCATCATTGTGGGGAATTGCTAAGGGGTGATGGGCTCAGTCTTCTTTCTTAAAAACCAAACAGCTAGCATTTGACACTTGGCTAGTAGAAGCTGCAATAAAGCTTCTTCTTCTACTACTACTATTACTATTATTGTTGTCATTATTATTATTATTATTATTTCATATATTAGCCAAATTGGGAGGGATAGCCAATACCCCATAAGACAGGAGCAGAATTCAAAATGATCTGAACACATTAGAGAGATGGGCCAAAATTAACAAAATGAAGTTCAACAGTGACAAATGCAAAATAATCCACTTTGCTTAAAAAAATGAAGTGCAAAGATACAGAATGGGGGATGCCTGGCTTGAGAGCAGTATGTGTGAAAAAGATCTTGGAGTCCTCGTGGGCAACAAGTTAAACATGAGCTAACAATATCGCGTGGTGGCAAAAAAAAGCCAGTGGGATTTTGGCCTGCATAAATAGGAGTACAGTGTCTAGATCCAGGAAAGTACTGCTATCCCTCAATTCTGCCTTGATTAGACCACATCTGGAATGCGGTGTCCAATTCTGGGCACCACAATTGAAGGGAAATGTTGACAGGCTGGAAAGTGTCCAGAGGAGGGCAACTAAAATGATAAAGGGTCTGGAGAACAAGCCCTATGAGGAGCGTCTTAAAGAGCTGAGCATGTTTAGCCTGAAGAAGAGAAGGTTGAGAGGAGACATAATGGCCATGTATAAGTATGTGAAATGAAGTCACAGAGAGGAGGGTGCAAGTTTGTTTTCTGCTGCCCTGGAGACTAGGATGCGGAACAATGGCTTCAAACTACAGGAAAGGAGATTCCACCTGAGCACGAGGAAGAATTTCCTGACTGTGAGAGTTGTTCAGCAGTGGAACTCTCTGCCCCAGAGTGTGATGGAGACTTCTTTGGAGGCTTTTAAGCAGAGGCTGGATGGCCATCTGTCAGGGGTGTTATGAATGTGATTTTACTGTTTCTTGGCAGGGGGTTGAACTGGATGGCTCACAAGGTCTCTTCTAACTCTATGATTCTATGGGACAGCAGGAAATTCTATGATTCTCTTCCAACTCTATGATTCTATGATTCTATGGAGTGATGTAACTCCAGCCACCACCGCCTCCTCCACCTCCTCCTCCTCTTCTTTTTCTTCTTTGGTGTGTCTATGTAGAAACCTTGCTGGTTTGTGGAAGGGCTAATGTCAATCAAGAGTTATCTATGTCTTTCATTATTGTGAAGTTAAGGGTTTAGGGTGGACAGTTTCCATTTTTCTTAAAAGCACACACACAGCACCCATGTCAAATGTCAATCACAAGGGGACTGATGGAAAATCTATGTGGGAAGGCAAATGAAACAGAAACCAGCATCATTAAGTCCATACTGTACTGCAAGTGCAAAAGGTACTGTTTTCCTCCCACTATCTTTCCAAGTAGAAAAAAACCCTCTCTCCCCAAGTGAGAAACATGGTTGGTGTAATAAACACCAGAGTTACACCAAGACAGATGGAAGAAAGGTTGGAGCTGGGTTTTTGGTTTGGAATGCAATATCAATGGCTCCATGAGCCTCTGTTCTCATGGAGCCATGAGAGCCTCATGGAGCCAATCTCAAAATTGCACACGTGGATAAATTCAATGACATGCCAGAATGCTATACATCTCCAGTCCAGAAACTTGGAGTAAATTTTAGAGATTCCTCCCAACCAGTACTACTTATTTATTTATCGTGTCAGAAGTGAATATAGGGTACAGTTTGAATGTATTTAAAAACACAAACAATGTTTAAAAACTTGGCATTATTCTAAATGTCCAGAAGAGACTTGCAGCATGCAACCAGTACTAACTTGGGGGGATTCTGGAAGTTGCAGTCCAGGAAAGTGATTGATCCAAGCCTTGCCTAATGAAATTGCTTAGAGAGCTGGGGTGCAAAGGGTGTAAAGAACCCCTCGGTTCCTGCAAGAGTGGGAGGAGGGGAGCCAATACAGCAATGGAAGAACAACCGGGCAGGATGTGCAGCTTTGAAGGAGCCTGGCATGAAGTTTGGATGGACACAGCTGGCGACCTGAGGGACATGGCATCAAGAGAGCTCAGTGAAGAATCCATAACAGATGCTGCCTTCCAGCAGTATGCCTACGTTACAGCAGGAAAGCAGAGATTTCGGGAATAATGAGGTGAATGATTGAGATTCAGTGGGGGAAATGAGGCCTGTATTCCATAAGGGAGTCAAATGAAGCACATCAAGTCAGATGTAGAAAAAGCTATGCTTCCATCTACAGGAAAAACTGTGTAGTCCCTTCTCCTTCCTCCACAGACATCTCAGAATCTTTCAGGTATTTGATGCAAGAAAAACCAACCTGAGCACACCTGATTTTATCTAATTTTCGAAACGTATCAGATTCAGATCAGGAAATACTAGTGATCTCCAGGTAGGGCAAGGAAATAATGTCGCTTGAAACAAAAGAGTGTCACTAGTTAAGAGCTCACCAGACTGGGCTAAATGAAGCAGTCACTTTGTATGAGTTGCATTGTTGTATGTCTTCAAGTTGTTTCAACTTACAGCAACCTTGGGTACATCTACCAGTGGTTCTCAACCTGTGGGTCCCCAGATGTTTTGGCCTTCAACTCCCAGAAATCCTAACAGCTGGCAAACTGGCTGGGATTTCTGGGAGTTGTAGGCCAAAACACCTAGGGACTCACAGGTTGAGAACCACTGGTCTACACTGTAGAATAAAGGTAGTGTGATACCACTTTAACTTTTGTAACCCAATGCTGTTGGAATTGTGTGATTTGCAGTTTGGTTAAGTACCAACACTCTTTGTCGGGGAAGGCCAAAGACATTGTAAAACTACAATTCCTGTGACTAAAAAGCAGTCTTTATTCTACAGTGCTGAAGCCAAACCTGCCGTGATCAAAAATTGGCACCTTTGCTACTCTCTGATGCTGAGACTATAGCTTGCCTAAGGTCATCCTGTGGGTTTCCATGGCCCAGCTGGGATTCAAACCCTGAGTTGTAGTCTAATGGCCAAACTGAGTTCACAGTGGAAGAACAGTTTTCACTCAATTCAGTAGGGGTGGGATAAGGGGTGGTATTTGAAGGGAAAAACCTTTCCCTGCCCTGTAGAGTCAGACAAGAACTGCAGCAGTCTCTCCTAGCCTGTGTAGTTTTCCACATTAATAATGCATGCTATCTTGAGCACACCATGAGGTTGCTTGGCCATACATATCTCAGATTTAATTGATGAAATATTGGAGTGTGTACTCCAACATGATGTCAACCGAGGGCTGTGGGTGGTGCAATGGGTTAATCCTTTGTGCTGCTGAACTGCTGACCTGAAGGTTGGCAGTTCGAAGCTATGGGTCAGGGTGAGCTCCCACTCCTGCCAACCTAGCAGTTTGGAAATATGCAAATGTGAGTAGATCAATAGGTACTGCTTTGGTGGGAAGGTAATAAAGACACCCATGCAGTCATGCTGGCAACAGGACCAGGAGGTTTCCATGGACAACAGACTCCTTGGCTTGGTAATGGAACAAGAGCACCTCCCCATGGCCAGAGTTGAGCACTGTCTCCAGAAGCTGGAGATGAAAGGGGAAGTCTTTACCTTTGTACTGTGTATTTCTTTGTCATTGTTATTTCACTGTATTAAAGGCATTGAATGTTTGTCTATCTGTGTATGTTGTAATCCACTCTGAGTCCCCTCAGGGAGATAGAACGGAATATAAATAAAATGTATTGTATTATTATAAATGAGTCTTTTGAGAATTCTTTTTGCAAGCTGCTGGGGTCCCCTTCCAGAACAAAGGTGGGATGCAAGTTAAATACAGCTCTGTGAAATAGTTTTAGAAGATAATTTAATCAATGATGCCTATATCCTATGTTTCACACTATGCTTGAATGCACCATCCACAACGTGAAAATATTTTTGAATTGCAAAAGCAAACTTTGATTTTGCCATTTTATACAAGGGGCATCATTTAATAATGCCATTGTATCTAATAAGACTTGATTATCCACAGATTTTGGTATTCATGAAGGATCCTGGAACCACATCCCAGTGGATATCAAGAACCCACTGTAAGTGTGGTTGTTTGTCACCAAATAGAGAAGAGAGATGATATTTGAGTAGGAATGGCCAATGCAACAAAGTCCATTCCTGTGCTCCAGTTGTTCATTCCTGTGCTCCAATCAAAGAGAGTGGAATTGCATTGCAGGGAAATGAATCCTGTGCAGTCAACATGGGGCAGGGATTGGGTGAGATCTGCCCCTGTTGTTAGGAAATTAATACCCTATTGGCATAAATGTAACTATCAGCCATTTTCAAAAGCAACATTATCATCATCAACAACAACAACAACAACAACAACAACATAAGGCACTTACTTTTTCCATGTCATCCCAGTTAGTGATAATCCCATGCTCAATGGGATATTTCAGAGTCAGAATTCCTCTTTTACTCTGTGCTTCATCCCCAACGTAACTGTCTTTTTGACCCATGCCTACCATGACCCCCTGGAAAATTAAGAGATGAAAGGAAAGGAAAAAATAAATATCATTTTGCAAATGTTTACCAAGTATAACTGCTTATGTAATTCTCCTTTTTCTAGGACAATTCCATACAATCACTTTCATAAAAAGTGTAGTGGGGAGCTAATGTGGCAGTACCTCTAAGTACCGCTTAACTGGGTTTTTTAATTATCACATTCGCTTCTGTTAATATAAACCCTTTTTAAAAGGCAGTACAGCCTTAAGTTAAAAAGCATATTTATACAGCTGTGAGAGTGGAATATAATGCAGTAAGAATGATGCAGATTTTCCCCTCCCTCCTTCCCTCTCCCTTCTTTTCATGACAGAAGAGATTAACGTGTCTACTTCTTCCAAAACCACTTTCATACTTTTACTTTATGTTAGCATTCAGTTCCTAGGTTCCTGAAATGGTCACAAACAAAAAACAAAAACAAAAAAGAAATGATTCAATATTGATTTACTCAACAATACTAAAAGGGAATCTACACATTTCAAAGGCTATACTTGAGGATAAGTGTGTGATCTTTAATATTAATTAATATTTAATATTATTTAATATTATCTTGACTATTAACTGAAATATGCATACATACAAAATATGAACTCCATAGGATGCTTCCTCGGCAACAACAGAGAGATAAGTGGGTTTGAGGTCACAAGCGCGGTTGATGGAGACGCGAGAGAGGACTTTCTTGGTGGTGGCCCCACAGCTTTGGAACTCCCTCCCCAGTGAGATTAGACAAGCCCCCACACTGACCTCCTTCCATTGGGACTTGAAGATGTGGCTCTTCAATCAAGCCTTTGAAAATGTTTAGTCCCTAGTTGTCCTATGTAGTAGTCGCATATCCTGCACTTTATACCATGCTCTCTCTCCATTACTGCAGCTGGTACTTATTTTATTCCTAATGTTTACAGCTTGGCTATGATTACTGCCACAGTTAGAAGACTGCACTTAATATATGTTTTTTTTTAAATTGCAGACACAGGTAGAATATCACAATCCATCACCATTTCTGAATACATATCAAATATTATTTTCTTAGTGTTCTTATCCTTGCCTATTCCACCTTTATCTTCCACTTGTGTCTATCAAAGCAGTATTGTTTGTCAAATGCTGAGAGTTTCTATACTCATTAGCTTTTATTTTAAAAACACTGATTCAAATTATTTAATATTGTTAACATACACTTTGGTTTGATCTCTATAAAGTGGGATGCTTCACATGGGGAATTATTTAAGAGCAAACTGAAATGCAAGTCAGTGACCATATGGAACCTATAGAGATATTTGTCTTATGTACAGTTTTACATAATTAACAATCTTTCTCTCTTAAGGTAGAAGTTCCAAGGGGGCAGCATAGAAACAGCAAACACTGCATTCAGTATGCAGAGTGAATTTGACCAATCTGAAGAAGTTTAATGGCACTGTTTATTTTATTTCCTTGGGGCTGCAAAAATGAGCCTATTATAATAGACTCTCGCGGTATATATTTTTAGGAGGCACTTATTAATTTCTTGATAGGCTATGTCCTTATGGTCGTCCTAATTCTGGTCACTAACAAGCATCATTCCCAATATCTAAGAAGGGATGAACAATCATAGCAGAAGCCCATTTATATCTCCATGCCATTTAGTGAGAGCAAGCATGGTGTAGTAATTTGAGCATTATAATATGATTCCAGAGAGCAGGGTTTCAATCCCTGCTCAGCTATCGAGTGACCTTGGGTAAGTCACTGTCTCACACCTCAAAGGCAAAGGCAAACCCTCTCTGAACAAGTCTTGGAACTGTAACCCCATGGTAGGGTTGCCTTGGAATCACCATAGGTCAGAAATGACTTGAAGTCATACAATAGCAGAAGCAACAATAATCCCCCGTATCACCCTGCATGAGAATTATAGTGGTGTGCATTTTATGGTCACTGTGACCTTGAGACAGTTTCAAATTACGTTCAATGTAGACGCGTCCAAAATTTTATGCCTGCAGATCCTTTTCACAAAGTCTTTTACTTGCTCTGGCCCCAGGTTTCACACATTTTATGTTGACCTGGAGGTTTGTTTAGCAGTATCAGCACTGAGAGGTGTGCAGGAGGGCTAAAGAACCTTTTGGTGTCAGGTTGCAGCAATGCATCTGCAGTGACCAACACTATAAAGCATGGGATTCTACACTAGCCAACCTTACCGGAGCTGTGTGTGCCTGTCCACAACAGGCAAGGTAAACAGCAGTTGCCTTCAGAATATGTATGATCCAGCATGATCAGTAAAACAGAGAGTAAAGGAGAGAGTACATAAGTCTACTTCATTAGGTTGCTACAGCATGTTTAAAAAGATCTATAAATCTGACTACCAAAATGAAAATTATAAGGTGAAGGCTGGTGAAAGAAAAGTAATCACTGGCTGCATTTTGGAAGAAACTTTCAAATGTTCTCTGGAAGATTTTTAAATTCTTACTTGTTCAAGGTTTATGTGAACTAGTCAATTCATTTCACCTTTGCATATCGTTATTGTTGTTGCTGGGGTTGCTGCTGCTACTACTACTGTTGTTGTTGTTGTTGTTGTTGTTGTTGTTGTTGTTGTGTACCTTCCAGTCAACTCTCACTTATGGCAACCCTACAATGGGGTTTTATTGACAAAATTAATTAAAAGGTGTGTCATGTATTTCCTCTTTGACTGGGAAAGCATGACTTGCCTGAGGTCACTGGTAGATTTTCTTGCCCTTGCCATCCAGAATCCTGGTCCAACTTTCAAGGCACTGCACCTTGCTGGTTTTCAGTGCATATTAGTTAGTTTTGAACAAAAGTTTTGTTGAAACACTTTGAAATGCTCTTTTTATGCGGCCTAGAAACCTATTCCTATTATTTCCAGGTTGTTTCTATCTCTGGAACTAAATTTTCTGTTTAAAAATAGTGCCCTGGAAGACTATAAACATGACTTATTCATGTATATAGTGTTGATGTATGTTACTTGACCTAATGTGTAAAATATTTTATGCATTAACAAATAATGCCTGACATATTTTGCAGTATAATTATAGAATTGAAAGTAAAAAAAAACTTTTTAAGAGGATTTCCAAAATGTAGCTCATCTTTGTCATTCAGGCCAGATCTGTTTTAAACACAGGGGGTTTTGTTTCGTTTTGTTTTTTAAAGAGTGGCCAAGCGGATATTTCTGGAAGAGTTGACAGTCACCTGAGGTTATGATATTTTATTCATGGCTTCAATCATCCTTTTTTGAGATTAAACAAATTGAGAACTAGATGGTTCAAAGTAGAAAGTGGCATGCCCATTTCTGTGATCAAAATGTGTATCATAACATAATTACCTCAATATAGAATATTTCATTTTACAGAAAACAAGCCTTTTCCATTCAAGGGAGATTAGTCATTCTTTAAATCCCAACAGATCCATTAAACAAATGAGAACAATTGTTGGAAGGACCTTGGAGCAGATTTTGGAAGGATGTGGAGGGTTGCATTGGAGATGCAAAAAGATGAAAATATTATCATTTGAGCAGAAATCTGTTCATGTGGAATTCCAAATTCAAGTTGGTAATACCAATAGGATCTAGGCAATTGTTCTTGCTAGAAATAATGACACTCAGAAATGGTGCATTTATTTGTTTTGATACATTCTTGAATAAATACGATGGGTGGGAAATCATCCAACACATTCTGATAAGATATGAACTTAATTCAGTGCTTACGTTCGGCTGCAACAGCATTAGACTTATACATGTCTGTAACACATGGCTTTGGAGGCATCAGAAATTCCTGAATTTGTTTTAGATTAACTCCAGTTTTATGGTGTTGTGTAAATTGACCTGTTATTAATTGCAATTATTGCTACATGGAACATGTCTACTTGGTATGAAGTTGATTTGTTTTGACAAACCATATGAATGACCAAAACAACAAATTGCCCAGATCTGGATGGCACACCAAGCTGCATTGAAGCTAAAATGGAAGTAAATGCTTCCAAATACTGGGACTGGAAGAGGAAAGGGCTCAAGCACAGGAAATCAAAACTTTTTTTTTCTTTGTATAACAGCATCATATCACAAACAGCATCCTGGTTTTCAAATTCCATTTTAATGGCTTGCAGAAAGTGCTTTTGTTGCATATTAAACGGAACACAGTTTTCTGGATGGTGGGCATTCACTGTTCGTTAACAACTGACCTGATGTCGAGGTCGTCCAACGATGGATGGGAAAACAGCCCGGGGAGCATCATCACCAGCAAATCCAGCTTTACAAAGCCCAGAGCCATTATCACAGACTAGAGCTGTGGTTTCATCGTCATCACACATGACTCTTTACAGTTGTAGCCCAAAGTCACAATTGTTTGGGGAAAGGTAGGCCTGGAATCTCTGATAATTACAGAACACACACATATAAAAGAGTGATGCATGTGCAGTAAGGTATCTCTTTAGGAGAGTTAGCAAAATATATAAATACATACCCTTCAACATTTTATAGATAAAAACTGAAGCCAAACAACATCAGTGTGATCGAGATAGTCAAACATTATTATACTTCAAGGTTAGAACTATTCATAAATGGAGAACCTCAGAGGAAGGCAATAGCAAACCTCTTCTGAATAAATATTGCTAAGGAAATCCTGTGATAGGTTCATCTTAGGGTCAGGAATGACTTAAAAGCATACAGTCACAATAATGGCTCTTAAAATAGAATCACAGTGCTATAATTGTACATCGCGAAATGCATACATATATGTACATATATGTACATATATGAGACTCAAAGCAGCTCACAGCTAAAAGCATTTCAGTACAACTTAAAATATACAAATATACGGACATTAAAACAGTATTAAACCACATCAATATCAAAACAGGTTAAATCCATAAAAGCATATAAAACCTTTTCTTTACATGAAAGGTCTAAAAATAGACCTTCTCTGGAAAGCTTCAGAAAGTGTTGGTTAATGTTTTGAAATGGCAGCTGCTCCCGATAAGTGTTCACTTGAAAGAACTATGCTATATTTGCGAACTGTGAATTACTTATCAGAAAGACTGTTCTAGGAAGTGCAGTCAGATATGGCTGGCTCCATGGGCTCGTCCATGTGACTTCTGTTTGGGATTCTTTAGTTTCTGTGTCTAAGTGTTCCGGGTCTCCCTCCACTAATCCGGTTTAAAGTCCCCACAAAATGGATAGGAAAGGTTAAAATGATTTTGTGACCAGCTGTGCTCCCTCAGTGCATTATGTTGTTGTCATGGACCAGCCCACGCCAGAGCTCCCTGTCGGCTGTGGCCACTCCCAGTTCTTTCAAAGTCAAGCCAGTCACTTCAAGGATACCATCCATCCTTCTTGCCCTTGGTCGACCCCTCTTCCTTTTTCCTTCCTTTTCCCCCAGCATCGTTGTCTTCTCTAGGCTTTCCTGTCTTCTCACAGGACATTATAGCAGGAACTTTTAATTTCCATAGAAACTGAAATCTAGAAAGCACTCATCAGGGTTCCTGCACAGAATTGGGTTGAAAGGGAATATTCATGTGCATTAAAGGAACAAATGCTTCACCTCAGAACAACCAGTGTGTGTTGAACAAAAGACATGGTGACTTGAAGCCTATTGGTAATCCCAACTAGGAGCCATTTAATCAATTGCATTTCTCACCATTCAACAACTGATACATTTGTTCTACTCTAGCTGGGACTAGCCAACATAAATTGTGGCAGCATCTTTTATCCACCCCGAATATTATCAGTGAGCAAATGTACAGGTAGCACCCCTTATTCAGAAGTTTGAAATCCAAAAGTACTCCAATATTCAAAAATGCACATATGGATGGCTGAAACAGTGGCATTTTGTTTGCAAATAGTTTTTTATTGTGTCAAAAGTGACCTGGGAAACTACAAGTCGCTTCTGGTGTGAGAGAATTGGCTGTCTGCAGAGATGTTGCCCAGGGGACACCTGGATGTGTTACCATCCTGTGGGAGGTTTCTCTCATGTCCCTGTAAAGGAAGCAGGGCATGACAGAAGGGCGCTCACCCCGTCTCACAGATTCGAACTGCCGACCTTCAGACAAGGGTTTAACCCATTGCGCCACTGCAGATCTTGTGATAGATAATCTACATAAACTTTGTTTAATTCACATTTTAAAAAATATTGAATAAGATTACCTTCAGGATATGTATAGAAGGTACGCATGAAATATCAATTAATTTCAGTGGGTCCCTTTTCCAATAACTTTTGATCCCAAATATTTTTGATAAGGGATAATCTGTGACTCACTAAATAATGCAATATCAGCTATGTGAATCAATCCACTGTTGATTGTGGACAAATATTTTGCTCTGTTTCCCACAAAAGTAGCATTGTCAACTCCTATTATTGTTCTTATTGCACCTTCAAGACATTTCAGACTGATGACAACACAAATCTGTCACTTGGTTTTCTTGGCAAAATATGATCAAAGAGGATTTGCCATTGCTTTCCTCTGAGGCTGAGAGAGTGTGACTTGCCTAAAGTCTACCAGTGGGTTTCCAGGGCTGAGCAGGGGTTTGAACCCGAGTCTCCCGGATTCCTAGTCAATAGCATTCTGATAACTTGCCAGAAATGTACTAAAGCTGATCTGCTTAAAACTGGGAAGTCTATTCCTATTAGGCTTTTTGCAGAAATTGATGAGAAATGTTAACCATGGGCATTTATCATAATTCCTCTAAGTCATCATCATTATCATCACACTTTATCAGAAGTATCAGTAAGCTGCCCAGATGAATCAGATCAAGAGTCCAAAATTCTAATTTTGTTGAAGGTAAAAACACATTTACCCTCTGGGAACTCATTTTGTTCTTAAGAGTTATTTCCAAGTGCTAAGACACTTTTAGGTTTATGACACAAAAAGGTATCTCACACAGGTATCTTGTTGTAAATGTAAGTGCATCCTGTTATTAGCCACTTGTTCCCAACCATATTGAAGGAAGATAGCCAGTAAGTTCAATATTGCTATCCAAAATTGAGGACATATTTTTAAGAACTAGGTATCTGTAAAGACCTGACTCCAGGGATGAAAAGAATATTGGAATTTCTTAAAATGGAAAAACATGAGTCCTGATGGATGAGAATCTTCATAATTTGAAATTTATTCTGTGCAAAAAAAAAAGTGCAAATGTTGTACAGGATAAATAATTGACAACAGTACTTTCCACAGAGAATACAGCATTTTCTGTACAGAAGGATCTTCTTGTGCAATTTTGCTTTGTGGATTTAAAATACCTCCACTTCTACACACTTAAACATATGAAACCATGTGTGATTTTTGTGCAGAATAAGACCTAAAGTGCAAATAGTTTTGGAAAACTGCACATTCTGTTGTGGTTCAGCAACAGCATGATGGGTCTGAGAGTGCAAGTGGGCATGATGGGAATGGGAATACA